TATATATATATATATATATATAAAGAGTAGAAGATGCCTTTAAGATGGGTAAGATGGGATTGAAGTTACATGGTAAGACGGAAAAGAGGATTAAATTAGATGTAATGTGGCTGGAAGTTGTGAAAAAAGACTTGCATAAAACAGAGTTGGCTCTTCATTAAAACTTCACTAGGATTGATGGGAGAAGGATTATTTCTAAATTTCTGCTAAATAGTGATGTTGATGCTAATGATGATTTTGATGTTTTTTGTGATGTTTGTTTGTACAAACCTCTACTTGATGAAGCATATTATATTGTATTTGTAGATTTATTCATGTTTCTTCTTATTTAGAAAATGGTGTATGAAGTGGTGTGATGGAGTATGTTTACATTGGCGAAAGGATTTTTGTGGCTTGGTGTTTTTGACAGAAAGATTAGTAGATATTTTTGATTTTAGAGATTTTGATATCATTTAATTGTGTAAATATTTGAATATCTTGTGGCGATGAAATATAAGCTCTTTTAAAATCTTCAAATGTTCTCGAACATCGAAGGAGACAATGTACTATATTAATTTTCAAATATGGACTTAAATTAAACCGGAAGCAATGCTCTATAAACTAATATGTGCTTAGGTCCTGATTTGAACGTCTTTGGGTCTGGGATAGAATGCAAACAAAATCACACACTAGGTCAAATTCGTGGTTTTGAACTTACAATTCGGACATGTAGTTTTCATTTTCATGAAAAAATGACATGAAATTCATGCAAACAATAATTAGTTAGCTGTCTAGTATAAATCTTACATAGACATTTTGGTTCATAAAAGAATCAAGCAGTCAAGAAATTGGGCTTATAAATTAAAGTAACCTAACTATATGCAGAGTTCATAAATTTTTAAGGCTAAGAATGAACCAAACATGAACAAGCTAAGAATTTATGGGCCTAATTTCTAAAATTATTTTTACAAATTCTAGGTTTATAAATGAGCCAACTATAAGAAAATGAACTTGGGTGTGGTTCATGTTTCAAATCATGTGATTAATAGCCAACTTAGTTTACATATTTCTATAACTTCCGCTCTCTATGATTATGTAAATAGCTAAGTGATATTAAAGAGGCTTAGTTAAAGTTATTGTCACACCTAAAACTAAGTCTGATTGGAAAATCATTATATTTTAACCTTTTTTTAAGAATGATGATAAACTCTGCAAGCATATTATATATAGCGGACGTTATATAAATGTGTTAACTAAGCCGGCTATTAATCACATGAATTTGAAAGGTGAACCATACCCAAGTTCATTTTGTTATGGTTGACTCATTTATAAATCTAGTATTGGGCTTATAAATTAAAGGAGCATATCATCATCAATTTGAGGCTGTTAACTCATCAAAGAAGCGTTGAGGTGCACCTCAGTCAACTGAGGTTTACGCCTGAACTTATCCACATGAGTTGTACTCAGTGTCTTTTCAGTGGTTGTTGGGTTTAGATATGCCTCAAGGAGTACCTTGGATTGCACAAGTTTAAACCATGCCATGATCTTTACCCATGGGACTCGTCCCTAATCTTTTATGTCTTTGTAATGAGATTTTTTGGTTGAGCTGTGGCTTGTGGTGTTCAATTCCCTTCCACAACTTATTTCTCTGTTTCAATGTTTTGAGAAATGTAGCTGCTCAGAGCTTGCAAATTCATTGCATTATTTCACTTATGTTATGCTTTTTGGAGGTATCTTTACTCAGGGTAGGTTGCCGGGCCTATATTCTAACTTTTGAAATTTTAATTGAGAGAGGTTTGTGATTATAAATAGGAGTATATGCAGTATGTAAAAGTATTTTATTAATAATGTATTTTGATTGTGTATTGTTTTCTTCTTTATTTGAGTATTGTTTATATATGATTTTTTAGCATGGTGCACTTGGATACCTTCAAATTTTAGGGATAATTTTTCTCTTTGTACTACAGTGAGGCAGGGATTGCTGTTTTGGTAATTTTTCTCTTTTGCTTTATTTTAATTTTCTAATTTATTGATTTGTTTGCTTGCATGCTTGATTATTTCCAAGTTTTGCATGAACAAATTTTTTTGATTATAGTGTGCTTTTTCAATCACACTTATGATTTTTTAATTAATTTTTTTGATTATAGTGTGCTTTTTCAATCACACTTCTGATTTTTTAATTTTATTTATTTTTTTTTATTTTGAATTTTGAAACAAGATGCGGATGCTAAATTATCATTTGCACGCATTATTTTCGCTTTTTTAATTTTGATTTAATGTATCGGATGGTGGTTCGAGTTAGAAGTTTGTGATTGTAAAATGGACCTAAGTGTATGTATGATTTTTTTATATTAAGAAATCGTGCACTTTTAATAAATTCTTCAGGTTTTTTTTGCTATAACCTGATTTCAATCAAAAATTGCCTTTCAAAATATATTAAGAAATCGTGCACTTTTAATAAATTCTTCATGTTTTTTTAAGTTGCCTATTAACCTGATTTCAATCAAAAATTGCCTTTCAAATATAGAACTTTTCAGTGCATTGAACCTGAGAAAACACTCAGCAATTTAACAAAATTTCTTGAACCTCTTTGGGGCATATTTTGTAATTTGTAGTGCCAAAAAAAAAAAAAAAAGAAAAAGAAAAAGAAAAAAGAAAAAAATAAAAGAAGGTTGTAGCTTTATTGAATGCTTCAAATTCGTTTTGTTATTTAGATTGTACTCATTACTCATGCTCTTGGTTTTTTTTTCCTCATACAGTGATACATTTATCCACACCTTCATGCTCCAACTAGCTGTTCTATCCAATCACTTGAATGGTAGGGACACACACATACGACAGATCAAAATATATGGTCCTCGACCGTAAGTATTATCTTTTTTTTTTGTTTTTCAATTTAAGCTCTCATACTTCTGCTTGTTTCTCTATTTATTTCTCTTAAAATCATTTCATGTTTTAGGAATCCTATTCCCACGCTTCCATTTCATTTTACTTCGAAGGAGTTCATTAGTTATTCAACTATTAGGTGAGGAGCAGACAGAATCATCAGTTACTCTCCTGCAAGCCAAAAGCTAAGTCTTTTGAAACTTATTTTAAGCAGACATTTGATGGATGAATGGGTAGTAAGCTTATTTGTTTATCCTTTCTTTATCATTTTATATTTCCGATTTTGTTACCTTTGTAGTTTAGGGAAAACAGATGAATGTTTTTTGAATATTGGAGTTTTAATGAAAAGCGTGCTTTCATGAGACTTTCTTAATTAGACTGTTTCAGATGGTTCTTGACAATAATAGAATGTGTGATGCTAGTCTTATATTTGATTGTTTGTCTATTTTGATTTGTAAATTTTTTTTTAAATAAATTTATATTAAAAAATTAAATACTCATCTGTATTTTTAGTTTGTTTGTTATTTCTATATGAAAAATTAACTATAACTAAAATTTTTAATTTTATATGAAAGATTGGGTTTTCATTCAAATTTTTAGTTTGATCAATTAATATAAATAATTTTAAGTATAAATTAGTATGATCATTAAAAAAATTAAGCCATCCATATATGAACATAAATGTGAACGTTTGGCTCAAGCTTGAATCAAATGTGAATAATTTATGATTCAATCTGCTTAAGTCTAGTTCATGACATACTCCGAATTTGCTGGATTCTTACCCTACTGATGGGTGGTCTTTCTTTATAATTTTAAAAAATTTGGTACCAGGCATGATTGCTTTTAGTCATATTTAATTAGCTACAGTCAGTTTTCTAATTGCTATATGAGTTCGAATCACATTTTGGTTTTCTATTGATGTTTTTGATTTTTTTTTAATAAAGAATTTTATTTTATTTGGCATTCATTAAATTGATTTTTTATTTGCATTTCTTTTATTTTTAAATATATATCAAAATAAGAGTTCATTTAGTTTTATGGCTATTGGTATTGTGAACTGCATATTTAATTTGTGTTATTTTATACATTGCATTATTTAGTTGCGCAGTGAGCTCTATATAGTCTGTAAGAGATCCTGCATCAAATTATTATGTGGATTCAAGGTTCTATCAATTTGTTAAATAGGAAGTGGGGCACACTATGAAGTTTAAGTAGCATATCATCGAAGGGTTATGGTTTAAATTACTCATGAAATCAAATGGCTGAACAAATAAAATTAAATGCGAGAGGAAGTAAAATCTTCTATGTACTGTATTTCTTTCAAATCATTTATAGGAGATTTTGTGCAATGTTAAGATGAGAAATTCTTTCATTACTGATGTTGCAAATTAGCTATGATTTAATTATAATTAATAGTGTTTAGTGTAGTTTTTAAAATGACGGATCAAATGGACTGTTCTTGATGACATCTTCAATTATTAGAGATTTGATTAGTGGAATATGTAAATAAATTTAACAGTTAAAATGTTTTTTTAATCTCTCAATAATCCCGAGTTCAAATAATGAGACCGAGTTGAGCTTGAGCCAATTTGAGCCGAGATGAGCTTGAACTTGAGGAAATCATGCATTTAATGGGTTAAGCGCGAGTTTATTGAGGCTCGAGCTCGTCTTAGACTCGTTTGCATCCCCAGTACCAAATCTGTGTTTACTTTACAGGTTTGCTATTGTGTTTGGGTTGTCATAAATAATTTTCTCATCTAACTATATATAATTTTGGATTCCTTAGCTATAACCACACATTGTTTCAATAAAATGAGTTTTTTTTTTCAATAGTTGTCGCTATTGTGTGTAGCTAAAAAAATTAGCCTAATCCACTACATGAAAGATATTAATTAACGTCAGGTTTAACATCATAAAATTTCGGATGCAAACTTTGGCATCAGATTTGCGTCCGATCTGCTTTCATCAGAACTGATTAATGATAAGTCTTTGCGCCGCTTTGTGTCGACACAAACCATTTGTGTCAAAAGTTGTGTTGATAAATTTCAACGCAATATAATTACTTAGTAGCATCGATTGCTCGGATGGTTAGCTGATGTCCATAAGTTTGCGTTGGCAAATTCTGGCGTGAATTTGTCTCAAAGGCCCTAAATTTCTAACCCCGCTCGAACGAGCCTCGTTCGCGCTTCCATAGTACGATTGCTTTAGGGCTCCGACAACGACTCTTCTCAACTGAGCGTCTGACAATTTTGGGGAGTTTGCACCAATAATTTCGTAGCTCTGGTGAGTATTCCTTCTCTCAGAGCTTAAGTTAAATTCTCTTCTCTATTTAGGGCATTTCCCTTCCTTAATTTTCTAGATTTGTGTGGTCTTTATGTAAAAATTGAAGTTTACACGCTAGATATGTACTACGTAAGAAGTGTGTGGTTTGTATGTAAAAATTGAAGTTTGGATGCTAGATATGTAATAAATAAGAATTGAGTGGAATATGTGCAAAAATTAAATATGTAATATATAAGAATTGAGTGGAATATTTGTAAAAATTGAAGTATAGTTGTTAGATATGTAATATATAGGTAAAAATTGATGTTTAGGGTTATGTAATACATAAGAATCGAATGGAATGTTTATAAAATTGAGGTTGTGGTGTTAGACATGTAATACATACGGATTATCTGCTTTGTACATTAAAAATTGATGTTTATGTGTTAGATATGTAATAGATAAGATTCATGTGGTTTGTACGTAAAACTTGAAGTTTATGTGTTAGATATATATACATAAAAATTGAGTGTGATATTTGTAAAAATTGAAATTTAGGTGTTATATATGTAATACATAAGACTTGTATGGTTGTACGAAAAAATTGAAGTTGTATGGTTGTACGAAAAAATTGAAGTGCAAGTGTGTTGGGCTTTCTTTTTTTCTCTTTTTTTTATTTTCCCTCATTTCCCCCGACACAGGGGGGCCTTTGAATGACGTGCAGATTCAAAGATTTGATTGTTTAAATAATTGAGCGCGATATCAAAAATATTACACCATATTGAAAGATAGAAATACAACTTTATGACAAATTCAATTATTTGAAAATATTAGATATTTGCATTGGTTTGTGCTTTAAACCCGACAAATAATTTCCCCTATCTAATCTGAAGACTAGATAAGACTTAGATTAGTTCTGAGTTTTTTATCCTTCTATAAGGGTAAACCCCTGTAATTAATTGCATGTTAAACAACCAATGTTACGTAAGAAAAGTTTCAATTAAGGATGTAGTTTTATTCCCATAAATATTCTAATTTAATTTTTCCATGATTGGACATTGGATTTCCAAACAGGGAAAACTTAGAAAAATTGAACAGTTGACATAGGTCGAAGGGAGAAGAGGTAGGGACATTTAGAGATATTGATGAGATCTCAGTAATGTTCTAGACTATCCTATTGTTTGACATTTGATGTTCTTGCAGAAAAATTTAATATTTCATCATGATGTTTTATTAGAATGCTAGAACATATACTGTACGTCATACAATCATGCAGAGGCCTAAAGGTGAGTGTTTACATCATAACTAGATGAACAATCTCAGAGCTCACCGAGAAGTGAAACTTTAGAACCCTAACCTAAAAAGAAGAAGAAGAAAAAAAAAAAAACAGAACGTAATGGTCTTACAACCCTACCTAAAAAGAGCCGCCATCTAAACCACCTATGCACAATTAAAACCATGCATTCTCAGTCACAATGATGCAAGATAGGATAGGTTGTTAATTTAGTAAAAATAATAGGTATTAAGTCTTGATTATAAATCAAGTTGGCTAATCATATATGGTATGCAAAATGTCCTAAGACTAATGCAAATATATTTTCGAGTCTTCAAATTTAAATGTTTTGTCTCACCACACTCAAGAGCTTAGTTGTGTTTGGTTAATATCAAGTGCATAAAAACAGGCTGTCTAATGAGTTATGCAAGTCCTTGATGATGAATGTGTAGAAGATTTATTCAGAAGGCCAATCGACATGCATATGCAGAACTCACTCTATAAGATAGTGGTTCTCACGGGTCAAACCCCAACTTTTCGTGCAATGAGTGAGGGTCTGAAGACAAGGAGTAGAAGCAATATGTTAGCTAATGCCTATAGATCATGTTTTTCGTTTTCCCTATAGATCATGTTTTCGTTCATATTCCTAAATTGAAAAAAAGTATTTATACTCAAATTTTATTTAATGTCAATCAAGGTTATTTTTGATGCATGACATTTCTATGGTTGTGAATGCAATAATTTATGCAGTTGTTTCTGGTTATGAGTTTAGTTTTGAAAAAAATATTAAACGGTCAAAGTTATTTATTTGGTTGGGGCGGAAAATTTAATTCTTAGGTGAGCATATTGATAATCCAGGCAAGAGACAAAAATGTAAATATCAGCCTAAAATGGGGACAGACCTATCGAATAGACAACGAACAAACTGACAATATGGGTGCCAATATTAGACATATGTCAGACTTGTCAACTGACATAACCTGACCTACCTTTGATGATTTAGTTGAGGTTCATCATTCACTTATTGTTCGTCTTCTTTTTGATAGTTTGGATGTTTATAGTCATTTGACCACAACACTTCCTAACTCTATAAAAGAAGAGAAGTCTTGAAAGGTGGATTTTATATTACTACAACATCTTATTTAATTTATAGCAGAGTTAACACAACCTAATAACATGTAAAGTAAATCTAAGAGTAGTTTTTCTTAGCAGTCATGCAAAATAGAGTTAGCACAACCTAATAACATGTTAAGTAAATTTAAAACAATAGTTTTTCTTATTAGCTCTGCAAACAAAGTTAGAATGCTGTCATAATTTAACGTGAGAGAAATAAATGCATTTATTTTGATTATTAATGAGTTAATTATTTTATTTTAGGACAACTCGGTCAAGATACCCATGGCTTTCCGTCATTCCCGAGTTGTCAGTTTCCCTGATGTATTTAGCCAAAGAGGTGATTAAGCCTATTCCGACTAGAAGATTCTTATCAACCACTATGGGCTGCATTGTCCAAGAGATATTCGTAGACCCGTGTAGTGTTTGATGATCTTTGTTCATTAGGGTTTCATTTAAGTCTTAGCGTCTTTTTCGAATTGTAAGGGTTTGAAAATTTTAGGTTGCTTAAGACTTCTTGGCCAATTTGATTTTTTATTTTGTGATTTTTATTATTTTAAATTTGGGATGACCTGATTTAGATCCCATGGTTTTGTCATCCCGATTCTTTAGAGTTTGTGGTTTGATTGGTCACAAGGGACCAGAAGGATCTTTGTTAGCAGCCATGAGTTGCTTCCTTCAAATTTTCTTCTCAAACCAAGTTTTTAGGGTTTACGTTGTTAGTGTTTTTTATGGTGTGCTTTATGAGTTAAGTTTGTAATTTGCAACTTTTACTCTTTAACCCATTTTGTCTCCTAGGTTGAGTTTGTTTTGGGGTGCGATTTAAGCTAAGTGTGCTTTTATTATCCTATGAGAAGTCAAATAGGCCTTAACTGTTTTAGTTTATAGACATTTGAATGGTCTTTGGATTATTGATTTTTTTTGGAGAAGTATGCTCCTGGTTCGGGGTAACGTTGAGCATAACTTCGTATATGTGTTAAATTCAATGTTAAAGATTATTTTTAGAAGTTGTGTTACTAGTTTAGGGTAACCTTAGCCATATTCCCTTAATTTTGTTCACTAATCTTCCTAAGTATTTAACTTGTTAATATGAATTAATTCATTTGGGATTGGTATTTTTGTTTGAGGTTTGTTTATTTTGTTTTCATTTAATGTTCTTGAAATGGTTGATTTTCTTAAGTATTACTAACTCTTCACCACGGGAAGGCTAATAAGTTAGTATTTGATTTGATGTTATTTTGCTCACTAATTCTCTTAAAGAAGAGTTTAGTAAATTAACAATTTAGGGTTTGTTTAATTAATTTAAAATTTATTGGGTTCATTAATCTTTGATGAAAAATTAGTGAATTATTAGTTTATTAATTGTCTTCTTAGATATTATTGAAGAAGAATTGATATATGGTTGTTCTTAATTCACTAACCTTCTTAGGTGTTTAGAAGAACTAGTAAATCATTTATGATTTTATTTATTAAAATTTTAAGGGAGGGATTGATGTTTTAATTTGAGTTAAAGTTAATTTGGTTCATTGATCTTCTTAAGCATGTTAAAGACTAACTAATGAATTAGTTTTGATTAAAGTTAAAGTTGCTTAACTCATTAATTTTCTCAAACATTTTAAAGGGAAAGATTAATGAATTGATATTTTAGTTTGAGTTGGAATTGTTTAATTTTATTTTTACGAGTTATTTCATAATTAGTGTTAGTTTGGAAAATAACTCTTTCTAATTCATGGGCTGTCCTAATGTCTTCATTAGGTCCTAATATTAGGGGTACTTGATTGATTTTTACTATTTTAATTAAGTTTAGGAGACAAAGGGGCTAATGTGCAAACTTTGTAAATTACAAATTTTCTCTTAATGTGTTAATTTCATTTTTAAATTTTCAGAAATGGAAATCATAATTTTATTGTAGGGTATCAAAGCCCTAATTTTCCTTGTTAATTTCCATTTGAAATTAAATTTTTTGATTAATATTTTATTTTCTATAATTATTTTTTAGATTAATTATAATTTTGATAGAAAATTATGGCTTTTTGTGTTAGGGAAATTCTGTTCTTGGAAAAATTAGTGGAGATTCCTAAAAATTTTAGGTCTTATATTTAATTTTTAATAATTAAATTACTATGGGGCAGTTTATTAATTTAAAATTAAATATAAGTTAACTAATTTCATTTTTATTTTTATTATTTTTTCTTCTGTTCATCAAGTTCAGAGGTTATTTTATTTTATTTTTATGATTTTTATTTGTTGACTTATGAATTTTTAAAGCTTATATTTATTTTATAGATAAAATTAATTAAGAAAAATCAGATTTTTCCCACTTAACCCAATCAGCGTCGCGTCATCCTTGTCAGCTCCAAAATTCCAAGCGGCACCCTACGACTGTCTGCGCTTTCCACATGGGTTGCTAAGGTGGCCTCGATCCGTTGCACTCCTCTTCGCAGTTCCACCATCCGGTTTGATCTTGGTTGTCCGTTTATAATACACAGAAAATGACGATATCCATTCATCGTCCCCATGAGCCAGAAAACAGAGAGCCATCCGTATTTAAATCCTAAGATCTTGTGCTAGGGTTAGTTAAATTATTTGGGGTTTGATTTTATAGCTTCATCTAAGTATGACGAACCTATCCATACGACTAAGTGGGCATTCATTGTTGTTTTGTTTCACAAAAGACCAAACTACGGTAAAAAATGGGGAATTCAAGCCATTACCTTAACCCAAGAGGTGAGACCTCAATTGGGTTTGATGGAAACGAACGCCTTGGATGCGCACACCTCTTCTTTTCTCTAATTTGTTTGAAAATTGGCTCTAGATAGATGCTAGGCAAAATGGGGGCTTGTGTTGGTGCTGAGCTAGGTTAGAGGGTGCGAAGGAGGGATTTTGATTGGGGATAAGATTTTAGGGCATTGTGAAGCTAATAGAAGGGTTGAAATGGAGTTTTGGTGAGGTTAATGTCAAGGCCGTAAATAGCTCTGGGTTTTAGAGGTGAAATTTGGGTTAAGGGGTGTCTGAGGTGACTTAGAAATGGTGGGAGATGGCCAATAGTGTCTGTGGGAGCAAAGTTGGTGTTGAAGGCGAAGGGTTTTAATGAGAGTTTAAGGAGTTTGCATGTGCTCTGAGGCACTCGGGTTGGGACCTTAAATATCCATGAGAGGCCATGTGAGAGGCATTGCCGTGCATGAGAGGCTTTGGTGGCTCCTCAGGGATTGAACAGAGGGATTTCAGAGGCTTTGGCTAGTGAGGGAAAGCTTTCTCCATGATTTGGTGTGCTTGAGCATGGAGGCTCTAATGGGGAAGGAGGAGGCATGATAAGGCTTTGGGATGATTGGGGAAAGCCTATTTTGGGTGGCTTGACTCAGCTTTAACCTAAGTTCCAAGGATTGTAGTTGGGTGGGTTAGACTTAGGAGCCATGTGTTGGCTTTCTTGGTTAAGTGTATAAATTTTATCTCTTTGCATTTGTGTTGAGTTTGATTTGATTTAATTATTTTCCGATTAGATTGTTGTCATGGTGGCTATCTTTAGGTTATTTGGGTGTTTTTTGGGTTCCAAGATTTGGGCTTGGGTCATAGGTCTTAGGCTTTTGGGTTGGACCTTGAATGGTGGGCTTTCCTTTAGGTGGTTGGGCCTACCATTTAAACCTCTTATGATTAACTATTCTAACTAATTAGATTAATTTAGTTTTTTATTTCATTTTTTTCAGTTTTGATCCTAAGTTCAACTTGACAATCTTAGTGCTTTTGGTATGAGCTTAACTTGGTTAGTATTTTTTTTTTTGGTAGTCTTTGGTGGTTGATATTTGGTTAATTTATTTTATTTTGATTTTGTAAGTAGGTGATTTTAATTTCCTTTAAGGGTGTTGAGTATTTTAAGCTTATGGTTGAATTTAGTGTATTTTTGTGGTTATTTAGGGAAGACATTTAGATAGGCCCCAAGTCCAATTGTGGTGACCCAATTTCTCTATGGTTTACATTTTGATGTTTTAATATTCTTTTTATCTTAATTAAAGATTGTGGTACAAAGGGTGCATCTTTCTTTAATCTAGAATTAGCCTCATATCCAATGGGCTTCCTCCACACCAAAAAGGGTGTAAAGGTGGTCAATAGGACATCACAAGGATTCTTAGGCCTCTAGGCTTCATGGGTTTCCCAAGGTCTCCTCCACCTGTAGAAATTCAACTTGGGCTTCTACCAGTTTCAATCCTCATCATCTCAACCAATAGTTGAGGACTTGTGCTTAACCTTATGAAACCTTAAGTGAATGTAGAGCAAGCTTAAAGATCTAAGTGTGTTGGTCCCATTTCTAAGTATCTAAGAAGGCCACTATGAAACACTACAGAGAAAGAAGGGGCCTCACAAAAGTGAGGTCAACAAACGTACCCTAAATATGTTTGGTGTACCCTTCAGGTATGCCACACATATTGGTGTTGACCAAACTAGTCAACGAGCTTTACGGAAGGTGTAATAAGTCGGAAGGTAGGTTTACTATTGAGGAATTTTATTACGCATGCTTAAAAGTCATCGAGCTCAAATTGAGGTGTTCCTACTAGGAAATTTTCTTAACAGGAGACGTTTAATGAAGGTTGAATTTGAATTAAGTCCAACTAGAAAGTTTCAAGCCTAAGGATAGTTAAAGGATTGATTTTGAAGAGTTGTGAATTTTTTATGGGGACTCTTAGGCAGGTAATGCCCAAGAGAAAATTGGAGATTGAATCAAATTCAATTGGAGATGTTGTTGTTTGTTGTTCAAGTTTAATGAACAAAAACTTTTCAAAGCTTCCATTAGGGAGTTCCTTAGACAAAACTTATCTAAATGAAATTAACTAGTTTAGGGTGAAAAGCCATTGTTTAGCTGAGGAAACTTAGAGAGGGGGATGTCATTTTCTATTTAAGGGGAACTTATACCAATCTTCAGAAGTTGATGCGTTGTCCCTGTTTCTTTAGATAGGAATGCAGACGGCCTTAAATTCTCTCTAAAAGGAAAATAGGTCAGCTAATCGAAAGAGGAAAGCCATGAATCCGTTCAAGGAGAGTCTTACTTTCTGCTTACAAACTAACTGGGGAGAAATGACGCCATGTTCCATTAAAAGGGGTCTTATACCACTTATCAAAAGATGATGTGATGCCTCTGTTTCCTTAGAAAGGAATGTCAATGACCTTACATCCTATCTAAAAGGAAAACGGGTCAGCTAATTGAAAGAGGAAAGCCGTGATTCCATTCAAGGAGGGCCTTACATTCTGCTTACGAACTAGCTGGGGAGAAAGGATGTCATGTTCCATTAAAGGGTGTCTTATACCACTTCTCAAAAGATGATGTGATGTCCCTATTCCTTTAGAAAGGAATGTCGATGACCTTACATCCTATCTAAATAGAAAACATGTCAGCTAATCGAAAGAGGAAAGTCGTGATTCCGTTCAAGGAGGGTCTTACATCCTGCTTATGAACTAACTGTGGAGAAATGATGTCGTGTTCCAATTAAAGCGGAACTTATACCACTTGTTCCTTTAAAAAGGAAGGCCTTGCTCCTACAATTTCTATTTTCATAGGCTTCACATCATTACATCAAGCTGCACATCATTGAATCTCTCTTAATTTCAGCAAAAGCATCAAACTTTTTTGCAAAGATAACTTCATTTGTCCCATGAGAAAAGAAGATAGCCTGGAGCGAGTACATAATTACATAAGGGTGTCATAAGAAACAAAATATAAAAATATGATTAGTAACATGCCTTTGTTCTTCCACCCTCGTCATAGTAAAGAAACATTTTAGATCGCCAAATTCAGAAAAAAGTTTTTTCAATGCATTAATTAACTTGAGAATAGTGGAAGATCAACGAATATCAATCAACCAAAATAAACCAAAGCACAAAATTCTTCAATGAGATCAGAGCCATCAAAATGCAACTTAAATGCAGATTATTTAATGGGCAATAAATTGAAAAATGTCGCAAAAACATCGATTAGATAATCGAAGAAACCTAACGAGATGGTTGCTTTTGTAGATCTCTTTGTTTTCCTAATCAAAGTAAAAATCATGAATGCTATGTAACTAACATGAAATGTTGGTCCAATAGCTTGGTTCTAGCTCCTTACTGGCTGCAATGTCGATAATGTCAGCAATAACTAAGGAATCAACTATCCGAGAAGCCAACCAGAATTGCAGAGAGATAAAAAAAGAAATGAAGTTCTCAGGTTAGATGATTCATTCCAATAAGAAGCCATGACATCGTGTCATACACCAACTTAAAATGAAACTTAAAACCAAAAATAAGCCGCAAGCTCATTTAAGACACAATTTTCATTCACCTCGATATGAACACAAGTACCTTGAGGTAGATTCTGAACATCTACGTAAATAGTGGGCCCCCTTGCCTAATGGGGACATCTTGATCATCTATAATAGTGAAGGATAATATAAATAAATTTTATCATAACATCAAATATTAGATATTCAAGTAAAAGCAATTTAAATAATAAAGACAACAATAAGCCAAATGCTTTCATATGTTTGCAATGTCTGATGTCCATAATTAAGAGACAATTGTGTTCCTGAATCTGGTGTACCTCTTATGTTGTGCTCATGTGAGTCAGAATGATTGCGTGCAGAAGACGATTCAGATGAGTTACCACTCTCTCTTCTATTGGGATCACCTCTAGAGACGATCTTTTTAGCACGTTTCAACCAACTGCTCATTGTCATCTCTAAAAACTAATAATTCGAAATGGTTAAAAACATATCAACTTTAATATTTAGCACCAAACTCTTTCCTAATCTTATCTTAAAAGTTATAGTTGTCCGCAAAGATGAAAATTTCATAAAACAGAATGCTCGTGCACACTCACATCAACAATATTACGTTTAATAAAACAACAATAAACATTTACTCAAATAATATAAATTCAATCTAAAAGCAGAGTTGATGCAATAGAAGACAAGTGAGGAAAATATTAAACAGGAAGCCATCAATAGATGGGTGACTCTGTAGAAACCGACAACAAATATGTTGGCTTGAAGGTGCGAAACTAGACCAGCAACCACAACGAGGACAAAATATTGCGTCCGGAGTCCGAACGTGAGCTGCGTCTGGACAACAGACGTGATACAGCGGAGGTCCGAGCTCCCGTTCCGCCCCGTTTTATCACGTCTGTTGTTGGGACGTAGCTTCCGAATCTGGTCGTAATATTTTTTTCCACAATGAGACCACACAAAGATTATTGGGCACTAACAAGAAACGGATTTAGGAACTTGCACATGCAAATCAACAATTCATAAATTTTAAGCAATTGGCTTTTAAGAAAACTAAATTATTTCAAACTATAAAATTTATTTTCAAATTAGTAAAATACTAATTATTTATGTATTGTGTTGATCTCAAAGTACATCCAAGAGTTTTGAGATTATAAAAAAAAAAAAAAAAAAAAAAATGCTGTTAAAAGATGGACAAAATGAGTACCTGTAAATGGACAGTACAGATGGGAAATGCCACCTCTCTCATCTTCTTCCCAGAGGAATCAGAAGATGTAGAACCTATGAGAACAAAATAATAATAATGGTAATAATAATAGGGGCATTAATATACTTACCACCCAATTCTTAGGTATTTACATATAAATACCTTAACTTTACCTTTTAGGACCCGATTGGAGCAGCTTAATTGGTGCGGTGACGTTTTAAAAGCAAACCAGTTCTGTGTGTAAACTACGGTTTGACATCTTTTGTATTTTCAAAATGTTGAAAATAGTGTTTTCATACCACATCTATCTAAGTGCTGTTGCAGCTTTCTGGTTGTGACATGACTTTTCCAAATAAATAAAAATTTGTAATAGCCACCGCACATAGCTTATCAGCAGATTATTTTTAATTAGCTTATCAGCAGATTATTCAATAAGCTGCAGCTGCCCCAAACCCTTAATGTGACAAAAATAAATTACATTTTACCCAATTCATTCCTTGATAAATGTGTGTAAGTAATAATGATTAAAAAAAAAGAACATGCATTAATATGGGTGTGAATAATTCAAAAAATAAAGCATGTAAATGTTAATGTGTAAACAATAATAATAAAAAAAAATAAAAAAAAAAAAAAACATGTTCATTCAAAATAATGGTGTACATGAAAACATGCAACTACACTTCAATTAGATTTCCTACTCCAGAAAACAAGCTTGAATTCCTTTCTCAGCATAATTTCAGGAGATCCTAATTTCTTCCTTGGCAAGAATTTGCAAGAATCTGGAGCAAACTTCAATCCAGTGAATACATGTTTTCCATTCCTAGCTTGAATACAATTGTTTGAAACACTCCATTGTGTAATACCATGCAAAACACATCTGCCAATGTTCTAATTAATGTTTACATCGAAATAAGTCGCATCCAAATTGGCTCGCCAATTTGCTTGCATCAACCACGATCGACGCTGCTTGCATTTATGGCTCGTTTCTGCGTGGACCATTTGTCTGGCGCAAATCCGCCGCTAATACTGTTTTGTGTCGGACCTTTGGCATATTAACATTAGAATTAGCGTATTGTTAATTTGATAAAATCCTGTAGTGATTATTCTATAATATAATATATTTTTCACAAAAAAAAAAATAGCAAAAACATTAGTTGTAATTTTTTAAAATGTAAACAATATAAAATAATTTAAATAAAATTCATGTCGACAAATATTTACATAATTTAATAAAAGTTGACGGTAACTTTGGGCGTATTTGAGATTCATTACACCTTGAATTAATTTTTTTTATCTTTTTATTTTTAAAAATATATTTTTTTTACATATTTTAGTTTTTATTTTTAAAAATTATTAAATATTAATCAAATATCTGAAAAAATATCATAAAGTGAAACTCTATGCTTCATTACACCAATATCATACCTTCCTTCTTCTTTAACTTCAAAGAAGACAAACCATTCGGATGAAGTAACATTGTTGCACATTCATAGACCACTCATTCGAGCGGCTCTCCGCTCACAAGCAGCTCATTCAACAACTATCTCCGTACGTGCGGACATTACACGTAATATTTTCTCATAAAGCAGACACTACCCAAAATTTTCAAAAATATACAGCATCATATTCTTTTGTTTACCATATCTTATCTCCATCCAAAGCCAAAGATCTTAGTCCAAACAATAATGACAACGCATTCAAAAAGCTCTCCAGTCATCTCTTATCATCTAAGATTATGCAAAGGAATATTTGTCTCAAATGACTGGTGCTAATTATAATCAGGAACATATAAATGATCCCCAACATTTCTTCCTCATTTGAAGAATAATTCATTTCTCATAAGCTGCGGTAACTAACCACTATACGTCGCTTGATTTGATCCAAAGATCTCACCTTTCAGCCTCCCTTTATGCTTCGTCAAACAATGGTTAAAATATGTGCACTTTGTTCCAAGATTCTGTGAAAAGATAATATGGTTTTGAAGAACAATTATAAACATAAGAAAAACTCTTTAGAATTGCTGGGATATTTGAAGTTGTACACATCAAAGCGGATTTGCAGGAGATTCTGATGAGATTGATACTAATGACAGAAGATGCAGCCTTCCAAGTTGTGAGGAAGGAATGAGAGATGAAGTTTGGAAGAAAGGAATCTATGGTCATAGATTTGAGGGGATTGTGATTCTAAATATCAACAGGGAATCTATGTCTTAAAGGACCACTGGCATGTAAAAGAGTATCTGGTGCAGTTTCTTCTGCCATTTCTTTGTCCGTGAAGCAAGTTGGTGTGTTTGTGAAGGCCCAAAGCCACCCACTTAATGGGAAAAGTAATTTGGTTTTTTGAATCTGGGTGTCCGAGGAAGATTCCCTTCGTAAAGAGCTGTTGAAATTATTTTGTTTTGTTTTTCTTTTTGTTTTACCTCAATGGATGGACTATTGAACTCATAGTCTAAAGTTATAAAAGCTAGCAATTCTGTTTTTCTTACATACAGTGCATGTATTTACATATTACATGTATGCTAATCAAAGCTTTAATAGCACATAAGAAACATCAATATTTTAATTTTTGAAAAGCGAAATACATCTTTTCATGCACAGGTAAGATGACAGAGATAGAAAAATTGAAGGTTTAGGGTTGGATATGTAAATGCATAGGAATTGATCAGTGGTAGTGGTATGCATGTAAATGTTTCTTAAGATAATTGGGGGTTTAATTAAACTAAAAATGTTTCTTAAGATAACTGGCCCAACACCTGACTCACTATTTGGGTTCTTAGCTTCTGTATTTCCCGCTGCACAAACTCTTTCATGAATTCTCTGGTGCATTTCACGTTGTCCATGTCTCTCTGGATATATTCCTTTTATTGTTGTTGTTGCGCTTAACTTCTTGTTGACGGCATGACTTATCGCTCATTGCACTTTTTACAATGTTGAATTTGAAATTGTCCATGACACATCTAAAGATTAGAACGTGACAGAGAAGAAAAGAGCAGAAAAAACATGATAATGAATAGTAAAATCGTATAACATTTATTCATGAAATGAGTCTCGATTTATAGACGAATGGACCGTAAGGATACATATGTATACCTAGTAAAGTAGGTACAATAGAGGGTATTTTAAGTAATACATACTTTATAAGGCCATATTCTGAATTGACGTCCGACCGATTTGTGATCTGGGCAGCCATGGCCGAAGGGTTGACCAGAAGGTGCCGACCACCAATTTAACATCTGGGCGGCTTTTGCCATCGACCCTCAAGTAGGAAGAATACTGGCGGATCATTAATGTGAGGTCCATTCAAGTTAACTTTTGGGATGTTTTTGTCTAACACGGGGTTAGATTTCTCTCGTCCAGCAAGAGTCGGTGAATAAATGCGCACTACAAGAATTAAACATATTTGTGTCGGCTAGATCCAACGCAGTTCTGACGATATTTAAGGATTATCCTCAGATTTGTATTTGATTAACGTCTGATTTTTTTCGTCATTAAATTAGGGGATTTGCATTTGATTAACGTCTGATTTTTTTCGTCATTAAATTAGGGGCCGATATTTTCATTTACATCCAATTTACGTCGAAATATTCCAACACAAATAATTTGTTTATTGTTGCGTTGTACTAGCATTTAAGTTGTTTATACGAAGTGTGCGCCAAAATTTCCGTCTGATAATATCAAACAATAAATATTAGTGTCAGATTACCGTCTAATTGACATCGAAAAATATCTTATAACATTGAAATATTGTTGTCGATTTTGCATTTGCATCTGAAAGCAGACGTAAATCCGACACAAATCTGCAACACAGAAAATGAAATCTAAAATATGGATTAAATTTCCACAACATACACAAAAATACATTCCAAATTGCATATCATATTAAGTAATAATCATATCACAAATCAAATCTCTAAAAAACATCATTAAAAAAAGAAAGATAATGTCACAAATCATCCCAAATAAGAATAGAAAAGTTAATCCACAAAATTCTACAACAATTGTTCAACATAATGTTTACAAATTAAGAAAAATATAAAAAATTACTCATCATCTTCATCATCATCCTCCTCCTCCTCCTCCTACACGGATGTCATTGGTTGTTTGATCTGGCTATCTGCTAAGGTCTCCGCCAAGCGCGTTATAGAGTCCTCGACTCTATGTTGGTCTTCCAACATTTGCTCAATCTACTGACAAATCTCTTCGTTAATTGCAGTCACCTGTTTGACAAGAGCCTCCTAATCTGGCTGTGATGAGCTTGAGAACTAATAATGGGACCACGAGAGAGTTCAACCTCAAAGGCTATGCCCTTCGCTCCAAGGCCATAAATCCTCCTCTTCTTCCTCCCCACCGCCTGGGTACATAGCTAGTACTCGGATTGCGGAGTGAAAGACTGACTACCATTGCTGCTGGTGGAAGTCTGGGCCTCAGCAGCCAAGTTCCTCTCCCGGAGCTGTTCAAACTTCTATTACATAATGAAAACCATCTTTTAAATGACACTTTCAACGATTAGTGTCAAAATAAACTTTTAATCTAAGATTTTAAACTTATGGCAGCCTTCGGGAATACTCTGAGACCCACTACGTAGTCTCGGGCACCGATGCGTTCGAACATGCAGCTCCGCAATGGAGGGAGCACAACTCAACTCCTTGACCTATGTAGTGTCCGAAAATGGTTAGCGCTAAAAAAATGCTCCAAAAATTGAATAATGTTTAAATATCTAAGAAAATATTACTAGTCTCACGTAGTGTTCTGTATGGGTGTCCGACCGCCAATATGAAGTGCAACACCCCTGGTCCCCTCCATCGCTTGGTTCGCCCGATTCATCTGCCTCTTCCTCTTATAATCAGGAGAGGTTCAAGGTGCATTCAACTAATCCTAGATCCCCTCGCCAATTCAGGCAGGCCACTCATCCCTTCAGCTGGCTGTCATGAAGGTGTCGGCAAGGCGATGGCTGCCCTGAATCTCAAATTTTAGGTGTATATGTTGGTGATGCTCTAAGAGCCAGGTGAAGGACCTCTGCAACGGTAAAAATAACCCATGTGAGTATGCAAAATTAAATCAAATGATTGTACCTCAAACTCTCTGAACCACAAGTTTTGAGTGGTTACAGGTATTTGCTTCCAAGATATATTTGACTCGTCGTACCTACTCCTGATAGTCTCTGTGATGCAGGTGCGAGCAGTTTGTGGAGAATGAATCTATTTAAGAAACAAAGTTGTCAACAAAAAATATATAACATAAAGAATAAAAGTAATATAATGTTAAAAATAACATACGAGTCTCCTTTGACAATAAGTGTACCCTCGGGGGGTGGGGCGGGGGGCATGAGTTGACGAACTAGGCTCAAGTGGTGTGTTAGTGACAGGTGGGCGAGTAGGTGCGGAAGCAGCAGACACCACAGGAAACATGGCGACATTGGGTGCTAGAGCAGGCACCGCGGGAGGGGTGGCAACAAACGGTGGGGGAGTAGGTGCTACAGGAGTTGTAGCATCAGCCGATGGGGGAGGAGGTGCCACAGAAGGTGTAGCAACAATAGATGGGGGAGGAGGTGCCATAGAAGGTGTAGCAATAGTGGAAGTAGTGGCAGGAGTAGACGATCTCCTCTTCCTGCTACCGTAGGTGGTCTCAAGGGTCCCTAGAACACGGGGTCAATGAGATAGCTGACCACCTATACCACTTATGGCCATCTACAAACAAAGAAATTACAATAAAAAGATTCGTACTAGTGGGAAAAATAATCATAAGCAGAAAAAAACGGTGTAGTAAATGTGATACATAAGTAGCAGCTATGTCTAAAAACAAGAAAAGCGTGAGTAAGAGCTATTCCTCAATACAAAAAAAAAAGATTAATCTACATCACAACAACACTATATCCAATCATATCACAGTTCAAAGCTCTTTAAAATATAATATTGGAAAAGAAGATACTATCACAAATCTAAATTATCAAAAGTTTACATCTACACCCTGATCAATATAAGTTCAAACATTTTATACATTAAAAATTCATAAAAACTCCTTCTAATCCTCATTCTCATCCTCCCCCTCCTTATCATCTTCCTCGACTACATCAGTCACCGAGCTTGCCCCAACAATCTTCTATAATCTGTCATGCATGTTATACTCTACTCAATTCTCTGCTTGCCTTCACGCATATGGTAAACCTACTCAGTCATAACAACAACTTGCTTGGAAAGCTCTGTAGTACTCCGATGTGACGAGCTCGTGCCACCCATATAAGCACGAGAGATCTCGACCTTCTTCTTCCGCGCTACCTACATCCATAGCTCGAACTTAGACTGCATAGTGGTAGACTGACTACCACTACTGCTGACAGTGCTCGAGGTGTGGAAGGGAAAGTACCTCTCCTAGAGCTACTCGTACTCCACCTATATAATAAAAGCCAATTATTAATTAATTTTTTAAACATTAAGAGTAAAAATCAATTTTTACTTAATTCACCCGTTGAGGTAGCTGATCACCAGCACCATCTGTGATCATCTGTAGTAGGACGAAATGTTAAGGGTTATGTATATACATACCAAGCTAACACCAAAACTCCAATTGAACTCTTATGTATATACATATCTAACTAACAATAAAACTTCAATTTATACCTACATACTACCATACTAAACGTTAAGAACTTTTCTCTATTGCTAGACTTCTTAAACAAGCTTACATGAAAATATCATTAAGGGTTTGCTTTTGTAGGTAGACCCATTAAATTGGGGAGTTTCTTATACTTGGGGAAAGCTTTTGTAGGTCCACATAATGAAAAAAATTGATGCAACTTGAGTTTAAAGGCATGGCTTTTCCATTAGTAATTGACATGAGTAATTTTTGGACTCTTGCGACTTCTTTTAGTAACTTCTTAATGCAACTAATACAACTAATTATGTTACCTCGCATTAAGTTTATTAGTTTTAGAATGACAATTTCTCTCTCATAACAACATATATTATAGAAGTTCTAATTTCTCACCATTTTATCCTTCTCTAACAGCTTATCTCACCTGAAGATTGCCTAAAGGTGGATAAATATATATAAACCTAAAATATTAAGTTTAAGCTAAAGACTACATTACTCTAAACCTAATCTTATGCATATACATTCCTAACTTCTAAACTTTAAATGTTACATACTCACCACTGAAATCTTATGCATATACATTCCTAAAACCTATACTTCAAATGTTACGTACATACCAACTTTAAAAATAAAAAAAAAAAAATTGCTGAAGTTGCCTTTTCATAACGGCTAAGGTCGCGACGAATTTCGGTGGATCGAAGGAGGAATGGGGACCGGCGACGGGGAGAGGGGTGTCTTGGGAGGGAGGAGAAGAGACGGGCACCAGGAAGAAAATGAATCGGAAGGCTTGGGATGTGTTTTTCGGGTCTATTGTGTTGGCTTTATTGTCTCATTTGCGTCGGCTTTTTTCGACGCAAATACGACGCAAAAAATGCCACAACACTACCATTAATTTTGTCGTTGTTTGTGTTGAATATTCATATGTAAATTATGACGCTAATAAAATAATTTATTTTCGTCGCAAATCAGTCGCAAAATCCGACGCTAATTCAAATCTCTCCTGTAGTGGCAGACTCTTGAACTGTCCCTATTAGACGCTAATTCAAATCTATTAGCGTTGGCTTTATCGCTAATGCGTCGGCTTCATCTTTCTCTGCTGGTGTTGGATTTTCTTAAGATTCGTGCTGATATATTTTTGATGTACACATATGTCATTTTGATCAAATACTAAGTAAGTTCGATCTTTAAGTCATTGAATTTGTCTTGAAATAGCAAAAACACATATTTTAAACAAATATAAATATATAATAACTTAAGCTCCATCATAATAAAAAATTTAGCCAAGATGAATTAAACCACTCAGAGGTTAACGTTTTACCTTTTTTGTTTTATTTTATGATAATCTTACCTGTTGAATAAAATTTTAATCTTTAATTTTCATTACAATAAAAAATCTAGTAAAAGCATCAAAATTATACATTTTCAAATTGCACCCATCTTTTTTTATCAATAACACTAATCAATTCTTATGTATTTATATGTCCAACACCTAAACTTTGATTTTTTGGCTTTTATACAAATTTATCTAAGTCTAGATAGGTGTATTTCTCCAATTTATAATCAGTAATTTTGATGTTTTTTATGTGATATGAAGGATTTGAGGGTTGAAAGTGTAAAAAATGAAGTTTAGATGTTAGATTGATGTGTAAACATATATGAAATGTTTGGTATATATGTAATTGTCCCTTTAATTAAATTAGATCAAAATCATATTGAATTTGGGTAAATTAAATGCCTTTATTCAGTAGCTTCAACTCCATTACATATCTCACTTTTTACATTTAAACCACCCAACTCTTTCGTATCACATAAAAAATACCACCATTTGAACTTTTAAAAAGTGAAATGTACTTTTTATGGACAAGAAAGGTGGTATGTATTTAAAAATAGAAGTATAGGTCAGAGGGGTGTCTTGGGAGGGAGGAGAAGAGACGGGCGCCAGGAAGAAAATGAATCGGAAGGCTTAGGATGTGTTTTTCGGGTCTATTGCGTTGGCTTTATCGTCTCCTTTGCGTCGGCTTTTTTCGATGCAAATGCGACGCAAAAAAATGCCACAACACCACCATTAATTTTGTCGTTGTTTGTGTTGAATATTCCTATGTAAATTCGGACGCTAATAAAATAATTTATTTTCGTCACAAATCAGTCGTCAAATCCGATGCAAATTTTCGACGCTAATTCAAATCTCTCCTGTAGTGGCGGACTCTTGAACTGTCCCTATTAGGCCCCAGCTCGCCAAGCCATCTTCTCTGCTGGTGTTGGATTTTCTTAAGATTCGTGCTGACATATTTTTGATGTACACATATGCCATTTTGATCAAATATTAAGCAAATTCGATCTTTAAGTCTTTGAATTTGTCTTGCAATAGCAAAAACACATATTTTAAACAAATATAAATATATAATAACTTTAAGATCCAGCATAATAAAAAATTTAGCCAAGATGAATTAAACCAGTCAGAGGTGTATTTCACTAATTTATAATTAGTAATTTTGATGTTTTACATGTGATATGAAGGATTTGAGGGTTGAAAGCGTAAAAAATGAAGTTTAGATGTTAGATTGATGTGTAAACATATAAGAAATGTTTGGTATATATGTAATTTTTGCTCCAATTAAATTAGGTCAAAATCATATTGAATTTAGGTAAATTAAATGCCTTTATTCAGTAGCTTTAACTCCATTACATATTTCACTTTTTTACATTTAAACCACCCTTTTTACATTTAAACCACCCTTTTTTACATTTAAACCACCCAACTCTTTCGTATCACATAAAAAATACCACCATTTTAATTTTTAAAAAGTGAAATGCACTTTTTTATGGACAAGTAAGGTGGTATGCATATAAAAATAGAAGTATAGGTTGTAGATATGTAAATACATAGAAATTGAATGACATGTATATAAAACTCACATCTTTTGATGTTAGCTGGATATTAATTATTTGTTTAATTATTTTGCATATAGTTGTACGGGAGAGTTTGAGATTAAGGGTCTGTCTGGGGCAGCTTCAGCTTATTATTAAATAACTGTGAAACTGCTGAAAAACAATCTGATGTTAAAGAATTGCTGTAGCTATTACAATTTTTTTTTTTTAAAAAGTTATATCGCACCTAGAAAGCTGTCACCGCACCTAACCAGGACTGGTGGAAAAACACAGATTTTAGTGCAGCTTTTTGAAAAGCTATCAAAATACAATTTACCTAAATAGAAAAAACCACGACACAGTAAATTCTCTCAAATTAAAAATAAAAATGTTCCCATCAACATAATTTGCTTATATAGGCAATGGCAGAGCAAAGGGGCGCACTAAGGACCTATGAAATAGGTTTCAACCTAACTCTCCATCCAAATTGTTCCCATATACATAATTTTATTAACTTTTAATTAAGTAATTATTAATTAATGAATAAGACTATTGCACCATAAAATAGATTATTCTAAATGATTTATTAATTGCTTGCTTAGAAGTTGATGAGTATCTTTTAATCAACATTTATTATCAAAATATTATTTATATATATACATATATATGATACTATTACCAAGCATAATTGCACCTATTCTACTAGCATTACTCTAGATAATTAATTAATTTTAAAATTCATGAGTAGCCTTGCATTTAATTATAAAAAATCTAGTTAAGTTAATCGCATCATACTCTTTTAAAATAACACTCTGCTTTGTAATTTTTCTATAACTATTAATATTGGGGGAAATATTTACGTACGTAAGACGTGCGCAGCGCTGTGTACGTCGGGGGTTATTCAGAGGGTACAAACGGGTTATATCCGTTTTATACCCTCCTGTAACCTCCTTGTGTAACTACCAAAATTACTGAAGCGCGAACCTTATTTGTAGGTTACAGATAAGTTACATGTAGGTTATAGAGAGGTTAAATGGGGTATAACAAGAATATAACTCCGTTGTACTCTCTGAATAACCTCCCGACATACGCAGTTCTGCGTACGTCTTACGTACACAAATATTTTCCTAATGTTGGACCCCCAATTAAGAAAATATTTGGCTCTTCTATTATTATAAGATGTTTTATTTACTTTACTGATGTTCTTTTTCCAAACTCGCTAATATTAGCATTTTAGCATTTAATAATTTTGTTAAAATCTATCGTATTTTGTAATATATTCGACAATCTTTTTTATTGTATTTTTTATCGTTCTATTAAATACATAACTTTATACATAAATTTATGACATCAAAATGTTATGAATTTAAATATTAAATCTTAAATATTAGATATGTAAATACCTATGAATTATGGAGAAATATTTCATACGTATGCAGAGCTATTTTATGTATTGAATATTATACATGCTTAAAATCAAGTTTGGGGTAGGAAGAAAAATAAATTTTAAAGTTAGTATACTTCCTTTTAGTTTAATATTATTGCAAGCATGTTTTAGGCTAGATTTACTTTCTCCTGCAAGTAGAGCTAGTAGAGCTGCGTACGTCTGGTAGTTATATGGAGGGTATTGGGGGTTATATCCGCGTTATACCCTATGTAACCTCTTTGGAACCTACCTTTAACTAGTAAGTTTCGCGCATCTTTTTTCATATATTTCTAAGTTACAAGTAGGTTACAGGGGATATAACGCGAATATAACTTACAATTAACCTAGCTTACGTCTTAAGTACACAAATATTTCTTTGAATTATGCGCTGTGTACGTAAATTTTTTTTTAAATATAATATTATTACGATAACATCTTTAAATTTAATATCCGATAATTCTAATGATTGAAAAGTGCGATTATAGTACCTGTTTTATCATATTTTTTGGATTGCAATTATACTTACAGTATAAATATTAATTAAAATTTTGTGTTACTAACACATGATTTTTTTTTATTTTTTTTATTTTTTTTTTTTGTGGAAACATTTATGCTCAGTTATATTCAATGCAAAAAAGTTATGATTTTTTATTTACATAAATACTCCACATCAATTATATATTATAAATATAAAATTTGAGGTGTTCGTTATGTAAATAAAATACACTCCGCTGAACGCTGTTTACATATAAATATCATACTGCTCATTAGGGCTGTCAAAACAGCAAGTTGTTCTCGAACAACTCTCATATAAGCACACAAGAATTAAATGGTATTTTTGTACATTTTTTATCTGTGTATTTCGAAGGAAACTAATTTGAGATTAGGGTTGTCGAAACAGCTCGTTTTGGCTCGAAATACTACTAATCAATTTGATATATATATATATAATTTATTTATTTATTTGATGAGTAGTATTTTTAAAAAACTTAATTTAGTACAAGGCTACAGAGATTTATAATCAATTAAAAGTTTTAATTAAGAAAATAGAATAAAAATTATCAAATTAGATTCAAATGAGTTTTAATATAAATAATAATTTTTAAATCTTGCTCCAATTCTTAACATCTTATGGCTACATGATTAGGGTTGTCAAAACGACTCTTTATTCATGAACGACTCAAGTTCAGCTCGCTAAGCAAACGAGCCAAATACAAACACACTTTTTGAGGTCGAAATATAAACGAGCCGCCCCTACTGCTCATCATCCTGTAAATCGTAATACGTTGCAATGATTTAACTTAATTTATTTCTCACTCCGTACCATCACAATGATATAATTAGCATCCGTTTACCTGAAAAGGAATATTAAATCGAATAAATTGCAGCCAGAATCGGACAGACGAAAGCTCCCAGAAAAAGAATACACAGTTCTAGTGAGAGAAATATGGCCATTTATATCAATACATGAATTCTCGGTTCTTATTGTCAAATTTATCACTCATTTATGTTGTTTAATATCATCCTATACTCAGTCCTATATATATTTAAAAGATTGATTCTCGATCAACCTCATAGTCTGACCGAGGTGGCGGACTCTCCTTCCAAAAAAATGTACAACTCGATTATAAGTCTGAATCGAACTCCCGACCTGAGAGACTTACACCAAAGTCCACAATATAATCATGAAAAAATAGTGAAAATATTCTTTTTAAAAGGGAGGAAGATGAAGATTCGCATGCTGAGGTCCAAAAATTCATGTTCTGTCACCCCTTCTAAACTTCTAGCAATAGCATTATTCGCCAACTGGCGCCACCCACTTCCTCCCTCCTCCTATAAATAGCAATCTTCCTACCCCCATCATCATATCACAAACCAGAACAATCAAAGCTCTCAAATTTCACTCACCAATGGCTTCCTCCTCCTCCTCTCGAGGCTCGGGCTCGGGCTCCGGCTGGTCGAAGAACCAGAACAAGCTATTCGAGCGAGCGCTCGCCGTGTACGACAAAGACACCCCTGATCGGTGGCATAATGTCGCCCGTTTCGTCGGCAGCGGGAAGTCCGTGGATGATGTGAAGCTCCATTATGACCGTCTGGTTGAGGATGTGAGGAAGATTGAGTCCGGCCATGTTCCATTCCCCAACTACCGTCCGATTGGTGGTAATGAAGAGCAGAGGTATGGTGGCCGGCTTTGGGAAATTTACATACCGAGCCTATAGATCTTATGTATTTACATATCTCACTCCTAAACTTTTATAATTACATATATAAGATTTTTATAATTGAAACATGTAAATGAGAAAATATATTTTATTTTTATCAAGTAATAATTGTGGCTGCTGTGCCAATATCATTTTCTCGATGTGGTATTAAACTATTTGTCACAAGTGACAATTCTATTGACTTCCAAGCTTTCGGGCAGTCAAATCCGCATGATAAGAAATTACAATAATAGCCTTCAAAGAATATTAAACTGGCACAGGGGTCGCAGTCACTGGATAATGAGTCTTTGTTCTGATGTTGCTGATCTGTCTGTTCGCAAAACGTGCCGTTCTTCATAATAATATTAATAAAATAATTTACTTATTTCATGAAAGAACAAAAAAAAAAAAAAAAAAAAAAAAAAAACACCTCCCAAGACTTTATATTTAGAAATCAACTATTTTCTTTCATTCATTTTTCACATTCTCACTCAAATATTAAAATTCATGATGAAACACCTGTTCAAAATTTTCGCTTTTTATTAAATTCTGAATGATTTGATCATAAATACATCAGTTTGATAATTAAAAAGTCGTTTTGATGATTAACTTGTAAAAATCAATATTTCAGATATTTGTATGTAATTATCCAAATCCTCTAGGATTTAAGATTAGTTAGAGACACGTCATGATTCGATAATTGCGGCCGATTATTATTGAGAATATAAATAAATTATTGGACAGATAAAATTTTCTTGGGCTAACCTAACCAAGTAATTTAGGAGAGACAGTTGGGAGAGAGTTTTTGAATTTTTAATATTATGAAATTTCTCTTGCAGCCACCACAGGTGCCTGAATTACAACTGACGAAGCAAGCTAGACATCACCACTACTATTGGCTAAAGTATGAAGACTATATAATATATGGTTAGATTCAGGTAGAAGTAATACTAGCTGCTGGCCATGGGTGTAGTAGTAATTAAGATGAAGGTTGATGATGTAATATTTGTATTAAGGCTACTCTATGTGCTTTTATTTGTGTTTTGTAATCATAAAAAACATGCATGCATGCATGCATCATGTTGTATATGTATTTTTGAAGGCTGCACATTTCGGGATGGGAATGGCTAGTCTTCTTGGCATGTAACTTGTATCATTGTTAAGTGTGATTATGTTTGTTATATATTTAATGATGATGTCATTATGGTCGCATAAGATTTGGTTTGTTTGATGTATTTATTTGTTAATTTTGGTGTATCTTTGTGAAATTGACACATGATTCTTCCTTTTTTTTAATAAAAATTTATTGAGAATATTTGATAAGTATAGAAGAATAATGTTTCTTTATATGAAGAGAGTTCCACAAGTCTTTTTCTTCCAATGTTTTTTAGACTCCCACATTAAGTTAAATATTCTTTTAAAAGTGGCTAAGAATATATCTTATTGACCAAGAAATATTTTTGGTCAATTAGGGAGATTTAAGATTGTCCATGAAGAATGGGAAAAAATAACAAATATTCTTTTGATTAATTAGGACAATAGGAAAGCTACTTAGTTGAAAAAGATATTCTTTTGGTTTGATAGAAATGGTTGTGGCCAATGGTGCTACAAAGTTTGCTTGATGCATTGATTTGACATGGACCAATATATCAGTGCATGTGAAAATGGAACAAGTGCTAGGGAACCTATAAATCATTGCTTTTATAAATATAAATTAGGATCAATGCAAGTAAGATAAATCAAATTTATGGTGAAAATTGGAATTAGGGCTGTCAAAACGGCTCGTTGTTCGCGAAAACCTCGTGTTTGGCTCGTTAAGAAGCTCGTGTTCGGCTCGTTAATTTCGATCGATAAGTTAACGAGCCGAACACGAACTACCTTTTACTCAATTAGATTTTTTAAAAATATTTCTTTATATATATATATATATATATACTTGATGAGTAGTATTTTAAAAAAATCTAATTGACTATAAGGTTACAAAGATTTATAATCAATTAAAATATTGATTAAAAAAATAGAATAAAAATTATTAAATTAGATTCAAATGATGTTTTAATATAAATAACAATTTTTAAATTTTGCTCAAATTCTTATTGTCTTATAGCTACATGATTAGGGTTATTAAAAGGACTCTTTGTTCGTGAACAGCTCGTGTTCGGCTCGTTAAGCAAACGATTCGAACACGAACATACTTTTTGAGCTCGAAATATAAACGAGCCTTGTTTACACCCCGAATTGGAATTGGACTAGTAAGAATTGTATTTTTGAACAAAGTACGAAAGAATATTAAAAAATTGTTTGAATAAGGCTCGTTAAATTTTTGAACAAAGTATGAAATTGGACCAACTCACTATCATATTTTATTAGATGGAAGAAAAATCTAAATAATCTTCAAAAAATTTTACTTACATTTTCTAACATGTAAGTTGTGTAATTCTATACTGAGTGTTGTTTTTTAAGATATATAATTTTAATATCACTTTAAATACAACATTTTTTTAATGATAATATTAGATATTAAATTAACAAAACAATAATATCTTTTGAAAATTACTTAGGATCAATTGTAAATGATTTCATTAAAAAATATTTATGATCAATTTTTTAATTTATGTACATCATGTTGTATAATAGAAGTTTAGTTATTTTTTGAATTTCACTTTATTGTGTTCATATATTGTTTTTTCTTATGCTTTCATTTTGTCTTTTATATCTCTTTAATTACACATTATTGTGTATGGATGTTTGTTATATTCTTTTCACTTATACTATGTTGCATATGTTTTTGTTGTTAACCATAAAATAAAGTTTGTACCTCACATGAACTTTATTTGAATAAAGTTTGTATTCCAACTCTATTAATATTTGAATCTGATTCATTTCAGTTCAAACAAGTTTCAAATATAAACCTAAACTTTCTTGGATACGCTTTGAACCAATTTGAATTAAAGTTGATCAAAACAAAGTTTAAGCAAATACTCAGTGATTAAAAATTATGATAATTGGATTGAAAATAATATTAAGAAATATTTCTCCAATAATAAATATTTCTCAAAATTTTACTTTATTGAGGGATATATAGTCATATGTGCCATTTGTAATGGCTTCAATTCATTTGTATAAAACTTAAAATCTTAAATTTTGATTCATGTAAGAAAATAGGTAGTGAAAAAATATTGAAATTTTTTTGCACCTTCATATCTCCATGACTTTCATCACACATGATTATATATATAGATGATAAATATAAGGCCACTTTGGGTTCACTTTTAAGCATGTTGGATGGTGATATTTATTTTTAAAAGCATTAAAAATGACTAAAGATTATCTTAAGCATTTTTAAAAATACTTTGATTTATTTTTAAAAATAAAAAATAAGTATGCTAATAAAATGCATTAAACAAACACATTTTTTAAAACAAAATACAACAAAAAATGATCATAGATAATCACTTTTAATAATAAAAATTACTTTTACTTCTAAGAAAATTAATATTAGGCTTCAATGATTTAATTGATATAATAAATTGGCATATATTTTTTCTTAAAATTTCAATAATGCAATGTAAACTTAAAATAAAATCAAGACTAATAGTTCTTTTTATCAAACAAATGGAATCTTAAAGTGTTGAATGTTGTTGGCTTTGGTAAAAATGAATAGGCTAGATTAGGATTCCTTACAAATTTCTAAGTTATACACATCACTCTTGATAAATAGCAAATTAAAATTATATTTTCTAATGAAGTCTCTTAAATCTAATATTATGCATGGGTAAGTAAAAAACTTTGGGCTTTGCTAGGAACACTTTTGTTTATCTATTTTTTACTTTTTTTTTTAAAAACATCTATCTTTAAGGTAATTTTTTATGTATTTTTATTTTTTTAATCAAATTATATTGTTTAAAAAATACTCAAAATATTTAACAGTTAATTTTATTGCTTTAAAAAACAACTAAATATGTAATATCATATCAAACATGTTTTATTTTAAATCAAAGCATAAATAAAGTAAAATACAGAAATTAGAAGTGATCTCAAACAACCTTTTGCATGCTCAATGAGAAAGAAGATAAGAAAATTTGAGAGAGAAAATTTTATGAGCAAATTTTTTTAAAATTTCACTATAATAGTTTCAAGTACAAATTATGTTCTTACGGAATCTCCATGTGACCCTCTATATTTATATATGCACGATCAAGTCATATGACTGAGAAAAACACAAAGCATAGATTAATGATCATTTGTTATAAAATACATGAGAAATATAACCTAATTAAGGTCTCAGGCTGAAACTATATTTGTAAGCGTACCCAAAGAAGTCACTAGTTTATTTTAAAGAAGCCATGGGCTTGACAATGTTGTTTTCTTGATGAAGTCATCATTAAGTTGCTTTAGAGCCAAAACTAGTGTGCTAGATCTTGGGCCCTCAAACTTTACCATGATTGATTACTTGTAAGGGTATCTTAGAAGGTATTTACTTTGCTGAGTTCATGATGCTCTTGGCAAACTTAAGCTACTTTTGAGCAATTTCGTCATGACCTATGTGAGTTTGCATTGGTTCTTATGAGTTTATGCAAACTTTGAGTGGGTTCATGTAGATTTATACGAGTTTATCTTCTATCTTTCCACCTCAACTAGATTGACTTAAATCAATTTGATTTATCCTTTACTAAATACTTGGAATACTTGGATATCCACACTTTAGCCTAGTGGACATGAGTTTGGCACTTACATATTTGAGTGTATGCATAAATTTGTCATTAAATATATTTAATAGCTAATAGAAAAATCTTATCTTTTCTATAAATCAGTAATAATAAAAAAAAAAAAAATCTTATCTTTTCTATAAATCAGTAATAATAAGAAAAAAAATTTATATTAAAAATGCAAGGCATAGTTTTCATAGTGAAAAAATTAGATAAGTGAAGAAATAATTTAAAAGCATATAATAATAATCTTTTCAATAGGACATTAACTCCTAAGATAATTTTTGTTAAACCGAGATATAAATAAAATTTTTTCAAACTAAATTTTAAATTTTTAAATTTTGAATATATTTACCCTTTTTCTAATATTTTAACTCTAAGAAAAAAAAAAAGAGAAATATCATTTTAAAATAAAACCTTGTCATAACCAATCCACCCTATTTTAAAAATGTCATCCAAATCTTTAACTTTATAAATGGATTGATCTTATCAAAAAATTTTTATGATTAGATATTATAATAAGTTGGATAAATTTAAAGGTAAAATACACTGTGATTTGCCCTTCCAATGAAAAAATAAGAGGGAAATTTACTTTTATAACCCATAATTTTTATGTATTTACATATTTAATGTTTGAACTTTGATATTTATTTATGCAACGTATTGATGTCATAATTATATTAAAATATACACATTAAAAGGTCTACAATAATCTAAAAAAAATTAAAAAAATTAAAAATTAAAAATATGAAATGTTATTTTTAAAATTTGAGCATTATTTAAGACAATAAAAAATCAGTTGTTCAATATATAAATATATAAGAATTACATGCTATGTATATAATGTTCCCTTTAATTTTTATTAAATATTTAAAACTTAAATTCGATCTAAATGTTTAAATAATTAAAAAGAGCTAATTATTTTCAATTCAAAACTTCACATATATATATCCTTCTTTCCTAAATATAAAATTCTTCAGCTTACAGGCTAGCAAAAAATTTAGAAATTTAGGAGAGGCCTGCACTAACAACGATCTCTTTATTATTATGAAAATTTATAAAAAACATTTTTTTTATCATGACAACTTAATTATATGTATTAAATTATAGAATTGGGTTTTACGTTAAAAAAATTTCAAAATTTTGAAATGGCCGGTCGATATCACTTTTATAAAAAAATATTACGTCTGGACATCCGCACATCCCAATGACCAACTGTCGGGCATCACATCGCCAACGACGTGGTGTCTGATGGTTGGCCGTCCGGACGTGCAGTATTCGAACGTAAAAGTATCTAAACTTTTAGCCTATTTGGGCCGGTTACTTTTTCATTGAGACCAAAAAAATTTTTTTTTAAAAAAAGTTACGATTGAGTTTTATAAATATATATAGTTTTAAAAGATCACAAAGATTTATTTTTTGGGGAATTTACATACACAACCTCATTCTTACGCATTTACGTATCTCACAACAGAACTTTTATTTTTACAAACCCAGAACTCAATTCATACATTAACAGCGTGGAACAATAAAATCCACATTTTCACGCATAGATAAAGTGCTGCATTTGTAAAAAAAAATTAAGGTTTTGACGTGAGATACATAAATGCGAGAAAATTGGGCTACATATGTAAATTTCCGTTATTCTGCTAGGGTCCACTTGGAGCGGCGGTGCAGTGGCAGTGTCGCGCCGCACCACTGTTATCTTTTAGAGTAAATTATATTTTGACAGTTTTCTCAAAAAGTTGAGGCTGAAATCTGCATTTTCTCATCTCTCCTGGCTAGGTGTGGTGGCAGTTTTTTTGATGTGGTTTTATTTTTGAAAAAAAAAAAATTGTAATAATCATCACAACTTTTTATGCATCAGATTATTATTCAGCAGCTTCACAGTTACTTTTTTCACAGCTGTTTTTTAATAAGCTGCAGCTGTTCCAAACACACTTAGTCGCACTCACCCATTCTAATAGATTTTATTGGAGTAAAAAAATGTATCTTTTGCCATTGCAAAATAAAAAAAAAAAAAACAAAACAAATAACAAATAGAATTGTGATTGCAATCTGAACAATAAAACAATATAAAAATTCGCCCAAATAAACTCTTAAATCTCCAATGACAGTCGTGAGCAAAACAAAATTCAAGATTATGCTGGCATAGTGGACTTAAAAGAGTGGCAAGCAAGCTGACCTCAATATAATATGCTTTCATGCCATATTTAAAAAAGAAATGACAGACCTCTAAATTGAGATATGTTTCACTAAGACCAACAACTATACCAAATAGTTTGTGCCTAATAATTTATGATCTCTTAAAAGGTTTATTGGTGATGATTGCAATTTGAGCTGACCTCAATATAATATGCTTTCATGCCATATTTAAAAAAGAAATGACAGACCTCTAAATTGAGATATGTTTCACTAAAACCAACAACTATACCAAATAGTTTGTGTCAATAATTTATGAACTCATAAAAAGGTTTATTGGTGATGATTGCAATTTGTTTAAAAAAATAATTGTGAAGCTGCCACATAAAAAATTGTCACTCAATTAATTATGACGACTATTGCAAAATTTAAAATTTTAATTTAAATTAATTTCATTTAAATATAAAATTCTTTTACTTGAGCATTAGCAAAACTTATAAATTTGGGAGAGGCCTACATTAAAATTGAACTTTTTATTATTTTGAAATTTTATAATAACATTTTTATTATTATAGTTATATGCAGTACATTAATGAATTGGGCTTTACAAGGTATGTGCATTCAGTCGACTTGGATTGATCGATTATGAAATTTCTTGAACTAGCATTAGCAAAACTTATAAATTTGGGAGAGGCCTATATTAAAATTGAACTATTTATTATTTTGAAATTTTATAATAACATTATTATTATTATAGTTTACTTATATGCATTACATTATTGAATTGGGCTTTACAAAGTAGGTGCATTCAGCCGGCTTGGATTGATCGATTATGTAATTTCTTGAACCGAGTCAATCCAGAAAACTGAAATTAAGAAAAAAAATACGACAACTCTTTTTATTGGTCAAACAAACCAATCAAACCAGAATTTAATTCAATTTGAATGATTTAAAATAACTCAAACTTTGAACAACATATATATATATTCATTGAGAGCTAAGAAAATATAACAGTTTCAACATTTTATTTGCATTTTCATGGTATAAATGTTTGTTTATCTTTTTTGCAATTGCTAAGTAGAGCAGTTAAGAAATAATCACAAAAGGAATATCAATTAAGAATCAGGAAAGCTGGAAAAATATAAACAAATAGAAACGGTAACATTGCAGTCAAATAGAAGTATTTTAAACCTAGAAGCATAAAGGCAACAAAATCAGAATGCAATCATTTCATGACACATTCATAATTGCAGAGCATTCATCAAAATATGAATACACGTATTCATCATGACATGATGCTAAAAAAAATATAAATCATATGATTCAAAGTAAACATGTCACATGATTCACAACCAACTTCATATGATGACATGAAAATGAAAAGTAGATAATCTGATGGCAAAAATTAAAAAAAAATGAAAAGCCCTTGCATTGACACATTGGCTTACTTGTAACCAGTGCTTCCATTGCAAGTATGAAGAATGAAAAAATGGATAAAAAGTATAAAAAAAGATTTGTTTTTGTTGAAAAAGTTGAAATATTTATAATCGATCAATTGAAACATGGTGTGGAACTCGAGGAAGAAACATGAGGGTTACGGCCAAAAAAATTGAGATTTCAAATGTGGATCGGGCATCTCAGGCTCATACACAAAATATATTACTCCCATCCTGCTGATGCATCGTATTTTGCCCTAGGGCATCCTTGCACAAAATAGGAAATATGTTGGTGTTTAGAGACTGACATTCATCACTAGGGGCTCTCAGCTCCTCGAACGGGAGGGTTGAAACTCATAAGACTGGGCAGCTGCAATAGAGGAATAGAATTAGGGAAAGGAAAATCCGAAAATAATATAATTGTGAGATGTTCGGTTTTCAGATTCATCGGTTTTCATAAAGAAAAAAATCAAAATAGCTAAATATTCAAGATTTTAAAACCATAATAAAATTTTCAAACTAAAAACTAAAATTCATTTTTTAAACTGAAACAAATTACCCAAATTGGTTCGGTTCGAATTTTCTTTTTCAACCAAATAATGCACATCCCTAGACTTTACGTTAATTCTTTTTTTAAGTGGCTAGTTGCCCTGACTGTTATGGTTTATTTGGGATAGTTGCAGTTCTATTGTAAGCAATGCAATATTTTTTTCAAAGTTACTATTGGGTTATATATATATATATATTAATTTTAATTTAAAGGAATTGATGAAGGCTATTATACGAGCCCTGATCATCCCTCATGTGCCTAAAAATTCGAGCACCACACCCTACACTCTGGGGAATCGAACCCCATACCGGAGGAGACTTACAACTGACAAGCAGATGCCTGATCAACTAATCTGAGTACACATCGCCTATTGGGTTATATATATATATATATATATATAAATGTCGGGTACCCCAGCCTGTTGGATGACATCCTCGGTATAAGACCCCTCAGGTCGGGGGTTCGAATCACCTCTGGCGACGTGAGCCTTAAGGAGCTAGAACTTGAATTGTTAGACATATTAGGAGTGGCTGGAGGCTTGTACTTGCCTCTGGCCATTTCCTTCAACAAAAAAAAAAGTATATTTAAAAATATTTTTCATTCAATCACCACAATCTAATAGATCTTATCGGAGTAAAAAAAAAAAAAAATTGCCACCACAAAATTTTCAAAAAATTAATAAGAAATCAAGTAGCAAAATATAAGTTTGGTAGCAAGCTAAAAAATAAAACAATCTAAAAATTGGCCCAAATAACTAGTAGTCTCCGTTGATGGTCATCAACAATAAGGTTGTCAAAAAAGCCCGTTGTTTGTAAAAAAACTCGTGTTCGGTTCGTTAAACAGCTCATGTTCAAATCACTTGTTAATCATGTGAGTCAAACACAAACAACTCTTTGTTTGATCATGTTTGACTATTTTAGCTCAAAATAAGTGATGTGCTATAAAATTTGCGGCATTAGAGTAATAAATTATCTTCTTAGCATTGCACAAGATCCAACACACTCAGCTAATAAAAGTGACGGGTAGAAACACCAGAAATTTTTAGTGGAAAACCTAAAAAAAATCACAGGGTTTAATCCGGTTGAAATAATCTACTATGAATTGTTGATTATATGTACAAACCCTTAACCCACACGCAGGAAAGATTTACACAATTTCTCGAGTTACAACGGTCGTGTACAGAAAGGCTCATTGTCCCATTGTATGGGGCGATCACAGTGGGGAGTCGGTACACCTTCATTGAGGTTGACACAACATTTGGGATGATACACTGCTCAGTTTGATGCTTCGTGAATCTGTAGCAACGATTTTTACTTCTTGCTCTGCAACACAAGCTAGGATTTCGAGTCAAAGGCGGCCGATGGTGGTCGACAATGATCGACAGGTGGTGGTTGATGGTGGTCTGTGGAGACAGGAGTGGAAGGTGTGCACCAAATCATCGGTGCAGAAGCGGTGCTAGACTTCAACCCCTTCTCCAAGCTTCGATCTTCTTCGGGCTCAAAGGCTATGTCCCCTCTCAAGAGGAGGGTAAAGCTCTATTTATAGAGTTTGGGAGAGACATCTCCGCAAATAAGAAAAGTATTTAGAACACTCTATCAGATGACCCAGATAGCTTCCCTCGATCGGATGATATTTGCTAAACATTTGAGTGTCTTAATGATGTCAGAATTGAATTATCTTGGGCTCATTGGATTCATCTTGTCGAGACACTTAATTTGACTGTAAGTTTGTCAGATTGAGAATCAGTTTGACATTCCAATTATGTATTGAAATCTTCCAAAAAAAATTTAATGGCTTATTATGGGCTTGATTTGACTTGGATTGAACCAATTTTGTTATCATTGGGTTCGTCTCGTCGAGAGAGACGGTATGGTATAAGGCTCGGTTGGCGCAGCTTATTCATTGCAGTGCAATTTGAAACGCTGATTCTAGCGTTCGGAAACAACAGTGCTGATGTTTTATTAAAAACAAGTGTCATCTCCAAATGCTATGAGGCCCCTACGTTCGACGTTTTACTTTGTTCGTGATTACCTGGCTGCCCCTCTCTGCCTATTCCTTCGAGCGACGACGCTGCCTAGTGTTTACTTTCTTCACATTCTTTTCTTCATTCTTCAGCAAGAGATTGTCGGTGTTCACTTCTTCTCCGCTCTTCTACTATCTCTGGTACCTCCTTCCCTACTTTCATCAATGTTCATTTTTGGTTTATTGCCGCGGATTGTGAAATGTGGTATGCGGTTCTTTTGCTTTCGCGGTTATTGGTATACATTCCTTTTGCTCTTCTCGATTTGTGGTTTATTGTTCTTTTTGGTTTGTGGTTTGTGGCCTCTTTGTTATCTTCTCGAAAGTTCCCTGTTTCATTTTCTCTGTGTTTGTAGGGAACATGGATTTTGGTCTCTTTACTGTTTGTGGATTATGGTTGGAAGAACGAGATTCGTTTTTCTTGTGATTTGTGGAGAATTTGTGAAAGATTTATTTTTTTTTTTTTTGTGAATATTGGAGAAATCGATATGCTCTCCTTGCTATATGGGGTTTGTCGTTGGAAGAGAAGGATTTGACATATCCTTATTCTTCTTTACTCAATTTAGTTTGTGATGTTACTTGAGTTTTAGGATATCTTGTCTAATGTGATTTGTGATCTAATAGAGGATGGTGATCACCTTTCAAAACTAACGCGGGGTCCCGGTAAATTATCGAGATTACGCCGTGTACTTTTTTTATGCATAGTGGTGGTGTGGTGGAAATATTGTGGTGGTGTTGCTCTTTTTCTGATATTTTGTGGTTTATGAGCTTTAGTGGTGGTTATGGTGTGGTGGCATTGCTTTTTTTCACATTATGATATCGTTTATGGGTTGTAGTGGTGGAATGATGTTGATGTGATGGTTGTGGTATGGTGTAAATGGCATGGTGTAAATGGCATGGTGGTGTTGCTCTCTTTATCATTATGTTGTGGTTTATGGGTTGAGTGTGGTTATGATGTGCTGAAGATGGTGGTGGAGTGTGTAGATGTTGGAGGTGGTTCTTCGGATGCCATGGTGTTGGTGTTGTTTGCGGTGGTATGGTGCCATGGTTGTTTATGGGGTTACTGTTAGTCGTGATGTTGGTTGCGCTGTTAGTGGTGATATTTCATTTTAGTTGAATTTTCAAGTTATGCCTTTTTTGACATTTTGTTTTTCGTCTGCTTTGCATTTATGTTACTTGGTGATTTTTTCGACATTTTATTTTTCATCTGCTATGCATTTATGTTGCTTGGTGATTTTTTTTGTTAGTATCATCATGATAAAGACAAAAAAACTCGTTCGTCTATCATGTGGGATAAAGAGGACAAACTTATCTTTTGTCATCTTTGTCTTAAATAGGTGAAATTATGAAAAAAGTCAGCTATCTATTTCAATAAGGAGAGTTGACAAACTATAATAAAGAAGTTCAAAGAATGCACAAGAAGAGAATATGGCCGGATGCAACTGAAAAATAAATGAGATCAGTTAAAGGATTGAAAAAAATGGAAAGAGTTGAAGTGTGGATTCACAGACCTGGGTTTGGATCCCATAAAGTGAACCATAAATGCTTTCGAAAAATGGTGGGCCAAGAGATTAGAGGTGAGAATTTTGCATAAACACCCTTATCGATTGTTAACCTCTTCAATTATGTCAATATATGAATAACCCATTACTTTATAGGTGGTTACAAATGCTAAAAAGTTTAAGTTCAATGGTATCGACCCTGAGTTTGAAGAGAAATTGGACTGTATGTTTGGCAAAGTCGTTGCCACGAGCGGTCATGAATTGACCCCTAGCGAGAGATGGTTTGCTTGCATAGCTGAGCATGTGGATGTCGAGCTAACTTCTGGTTCAAATGAAGCCCCCAACCATAACATTAATGAAGTTGAATCTACCGACAGGTCTAAGCGACCGAGGGTTTAGAAAAAGGAAAAAGAAATTGTTATTTTCATTAGAGATCAAATATCACAATTAGTTGTTTCATGCATCATTGATCCTGACACTTCACAAGCAACTTCCATTCAACAAATTATGCGGATTCTAGAAACAACTCCTAAAATTTACGATGACATGCAGTTGTATTTATTCTCTATAAAGTTGCTTGAAGACTCGACTGAGAGAGAGTTCTTCATGCGATGACCATTGACCGTAGGTCAATTATTTAAATTATTTTCGTGAGAACAGTGACACTCGAGGATCATTTATACTTGTTAGATAATTTATATTTGTTTTTCGTTGGTACACTGTTTATGCTGCTTGGATATTTATTTTTAACTGTGACACTGGTAATGCTGCTTTGGATATATGTTTTTCATCGAGCACTTTGTTATTTTGTTTTTTCAAGTTTATTTATGATTCTTGTTTGTTTGGGTAATATTCTGACAAAAGCTAATTACATTGAAGCTTACATGTCATGGCACAATATACAGTGAATAAGATGGATACACATAGAGAGAGATGTTAAAGACGAATTGCAGTTACGGTGTGTTTGATGTATGAGTACTATAACTCATACATAACTTGATCTCTTTGCATGATATCTTCATGCATTGGTGATTAATGGGTTGCATAAAATTTGCGGCATTAGAGTAATAAATTATCTTCTTAGCATTGCACAAGATCCAACACACTCAGATAATAAAGGTGACGGGTAGAAACACCAGAAGTTTTTACGTGGAAAACATAAAAAAAACCACAGGGTTTAATCTGGTTGAAATAATCTACTATGAATTGTTGATTATATGTACAAACCCTTATCCCACACGTAAGAAAGATTTACACAATTTCTCGGAGTTATAACGGTCGTGTACAGAAAAGCTCATT